AAAATGATTCATAACTAGGCTATTAACCCAAAGAGAGTAATAAGACATTCTAAGTCTATTCCCTGTTTCAGTTCTGGGCTTTGAAATTGTTGTTGAATCAGAACACGACTGGACTGTAGTCTTTGGTCTGTTTCAGGTAATTCTGATTCCAGTATTGAAGGTCCTAAAGCAATTAATGATAACACAGGTATCTAGGACAGCTAGCTTGGATCATACTCTCATTACATTTTCAGATGTCACCAAAGCTTTATTTAGAAACTGAAGAATTGCTTGGGCCATAGTGACTCGGAAATTGCAGGTGCTCAGGAAACTGCTTATGACAAGAGCATGACCTCCTTTATGCCAAAAGATCCCAGAAAGGTTTACAGACAAATGTAGAACTCTGCATTGAGCTAACTAGCTTCCATGTCAGTGAAGTTTAATCAGGTTGAAAGGCTGAGAGCACAGGCAATTGTGAAAAACTTCCTTAAACTTGTGAGATTCATTAACTTTAATGCTGTTTCTAATGGTGCCACTGACAGGAATGATCCTGCTCAGGTCACTTAATTTACTTTTATAAGAGATCCTTTGTTGTACAATTGCAAAGAGTTATTAAAAGATCCCTGATTTACTAGTTTATAATGTACATAGGTAGAAAAAAAACTTGAGCTAAACTCTTATTTTTATAGTGATTTACATGGGAGACCCTCATCTATCATTACTCTAATGGATGTCTATGTGAACATAAATCCTAGAATGATCTGTTTTCACATATTTCTACCTGAAATACTTTTTGAAAAACGGTAGCAGTTGGTATCAACTAAGATACGAGGTATATTTGAAAGAATGAACCCAGAATTCAGTTGTTTTCTGTTACTTTTATACACATAAATTTAATTATTGTTTTTTGTTCTGCTATCGAAGTTCTTTGCCGTGTCACTAGGCCTGTTTTCTCCATGTTGGCTTTACTGGAGATTGAAGCCTATATTGTTAGTGTGTAATAGTTCATTTTGCATTAAATCCGGTGGTCTTGGTGTGACCAAGAAATGAAGGAAACAATATGGAATGGGAGAATGGGCCCTAACATTCAAGTATATATTTTTTAAAATAACGGTTGGGGCTTTTTAATGTGGTAATTAAAACTAAATAACCTTTAGACCATACTTGAATCCAGTGAGATTTGATTTCAAAGTTACTTTAAAGGAAGTTCTGTAACTTAAAAAAAATGTGCTCTGTTAATTTAATGGTTTAATACATTTAAATTAAGTAATTTGAAAGAAAATCACTTTGCAATCTCTTTGAAACTTGCTTCCATTGGTTTCTAATGGGACTTGAATTCTTCTCCAGATATAATCTGTTTCAAGAGGGTGGCTTCTCATTACATTTCAAGGACTTAACTCCTTTTTTCCTTAATATCATGCTCTTGGCAGCTAGTATATAGCAGCTTCTTGTTTCAGTAGTAAGCTGCTTTTTAAAAATAACACTGAAGCTTTGTGAAGTTTGCGTATGGGCACTTCTTGATGACTAAACTGAGGATTATCGAATATCTGAAATGTTTGTAGTATTCAAAGGGGATCTCGAAATCTCTGGGTTTGTTTGCCTTTCCTGGATCTGAGGAAAATGTCTGGGGGGTTGAAGATCAAGGATGAGAAAATGGGTGGGTGCTTGCTGTGTTTAGTTGCTGTCATTTTTTGTTTTTGTTTTTGTTTTTTTTTTTTTTTTTTAATTTATCAGCCATTATTGCACAAAGCATGTAAGAAAGGGCTGAGTGGGGCTGCAGTGCTGATGTCACTTATGTCAAGAAGTCTGTATGCAGTATTTCCACATTGATTGTTCAAAACCCTGCAGTACACCCTGGGAGAAATACTGATGGTTTCTTGCTATGTGAGAAGATTGTTTCCAGTGCCTGATGCTGGTGCATAAATGTCTGTTTTATAGTGTATTTAGAATGACTCCTGCTCCTCAAACACAGTGGAGACTGTATACCTTAGTGTTGTTCTATTTCAATTCTATTTTTAAAACTGCCTTTAAGTAGATGTAGATGATTCTGCAGTGTCTGAAAGGACAGAGCTTGCAGGGTGTCTCATTAGACTGCTTATGTGTTTTTGTTTGGCTTGGAAAAGTACAGTGAAAGGGGATGTGACAAACTTGCCTTCTTTTGTAACTGGGAAGTCAGGTGGTACGCTTCCGATAAAATGACACTTCCACTTCAACTAAACACTATCAGAAAACAGTTTTGTCCCATCAAACATGAAATAGTATTATGTTTCCTTTATTAATTTGGTCTGTGGTTTTATATATTGATTCATTTAAAGAATAAAGATTGACAGCCATGTATGATAGGAAAAATGACTGCAGAAGATCTGAAGATAGTTACCATTCTTGGATGAATTAAGTTTGATTTAGTCTGATTTTTATAACCTGTGTGTAAACACTGACTTGGCTGTAATTCTGCATGCAAGCTCTTGGACTGTTAAAATGCTTCTTGCCCTTAAAAACTACAGTCCTATCAGCTGGCTGCTTTTCAAGAGTTAAGTTATGTTACTATCTGTGCCACAGAGAGACATGATTATTCGGTGTAGTCTTCATCTTCCATCCTTGGCTTACTGAAAAATATATTTGCCTACCCTTCCAATATTCAGACTATACTGTATAACATCCCTGATGGGTGTTTTGGATGCCTGTATGCTCTGGGATATGCAAACTGATGTTGGGACCTCATTTTTTCCATCTTTTGTAATAATGCATCGTTAGTCTCGGAAGGTCATTGATGCCAGAGTTTTAGATTGCTGCCCTATGAAGCACTAGTAGTAAAGGTGTAAACCACATTAAAATCTTGATTTGGATGCTCCTATTAACTAGAGTTGTTTTTCTTGAAAGGTGGTGTTGCTGAGTGTTGCAAACATTTGTGTGATGGTTTACAACAGAGCTTTGCACTGAAATAGTGAAAAAATACCCTGGTTGAATGATTGTAGCAGTCCAAGATAAGTTATGAAACTAGCCTGTATGAAAGGGAACATCCTAGTCCCATCAGATGCATATGGGAAAAATCCAGAATATAACAGTGAATATATTATAGGTGGGATGACCTAATAAAATACAGGGGAATAATATAGAGCTGTCTGATGTAGTATTTTTGCTAACAGATAGTAGTGGAATGAGGACAGCGGGTCATCTAATGTGACTGACAGAAAAGGTGGCCTGGAGATTCAGACAGCAGAGTCAAGGGAGCAGAGCAAAAATAACCAAAAAGTGAATTTAACAGCTGTTCTTCCTTAAACCCATGCTGGCCGATTTTGAAAGAAGAGATGGGATGATGTGTCTCCCCTTGTGTCTCTTTTTTTGGGATGGCTGTCACCTGCTTCAGTTCTGGACTTTATTTATTCTAAAGGTTAGAAAGGAAAAAAATGGGAGTATTACTCCTGTCTTGGTGCAGATTTTATGTTAAACTGTCCCTTTTTCTAGAAATCTCAGTGCATCAGGATCTGTGAAAAATTATATACTCTGTAGTGTAACAGTTTCAGATGTATGCTCAGATATATGTAAATAGTAAATAGCATTACTCTTTTGTGTGCTGTAACAGTAGATCTACTGCATACTAGATTGTAGTCAGTAGAATCCAACTGCCTGAACAAACTAATTGATAGGAACTCTCCCAAAGAAAGAAAATGTTTGCATATAGCCTATTCCAAAATAATAAACAGATTTGAATTCCTTCTTTTAAGACATTACTTCGTGTTTTATTGGATTGTTAATCTTGCTATACTTTCTTCTTATGTATACAATAAGTAAAGGAAAGAATAAGTGGATTTATCTCTTGAACAGTATACTAGGAGTGCAATTGAAAGTGCAATACAGTATCATTCATCACAGATGCTTTCACATGTTGACGTATGGCTGGGCCTGAGTAAAATTCTTTTCTTCTCTTGGTAAGCAAGCAAGTGAAGTTGCATGTGTTTATTATCCTCATCTAGAAAAAAGTTATCTTAACCGATAATTTCAGGTAATTTAATTTCCTTCTTCCTTCCCTCCCCCAACGTATACTGACAATTGCTTTTTGTTGCTGGTATTTCCTATATAATTTTGAATCGCAATATTATAATGAGGAAATCTGTCTTTTAATTCTGTTTTGCAAGGTCAACATGCTCCCTTTAAAACTGTCTGATATAGTAGGAAGCCATTTCTTTGTGACTGTCAAGATGGAGAAAGACAAAACTAGGGTCTGTGGCAGACTGTCTGATGAGCTATAATATTAATCAAAGAACAGATTTGCTTGTAAAACACATTTCTCAGGACATTGCCATTAGTAGGGAATAAAATTCTCCTACTACACCTTGAGTTCCTCAGTGGTTATTACAGCAGTTGCAATCTTATTCCTTAAGTTTAAACTATTAGAGAAGCACAACTTGAAAACTGTGATGGATAAAACAGCAAATTGAAGGGGAACATATCTGCTCTCCTATTGTTTCAGTCTTCTGATTTGATTTCTGTAAGAACACTCTCCACTAGTGACAGGTAAATCCCCAAACTAATTTACTTACTTTGTCTTCAGCTACTTCATTGAAAACTAATCTTGTTTGGGTTTCGGTTTTGTTCTATTTTTTCCCCCTAAAGGAACTTGTGCACAGGTAAATATTACACTGGTGGTTTCAATCTTGACCCTTTGTAATATCATGTAAGAGAGTGGTTTCTTAAAAAAAAAAAAAAAAATTACTCACAGGAATTCCACAACCAAAATACCGTGATTTTACACATTGACAATTCTGATGTTAAAAGAAAATGTGTGTGTTTTAATTGTGCTCTGGCTTTTTAATTAAACCAATATATAGTCTCCATTAGCATTCCACTGCTGAAAGGAAAAGAAAGATACAAAAACATTCATGAAAGGGTGTAATTTCTGAATTTATTCAAATGCCAGAGCAGGAGATAAGAATCAAGTCCTGAATGTTTTAGGAAGTTTGCTTAACTGATGGATGGGGTTTGAAAGTGAAGATGATTCTTTCTCTTTTATTTCTGTGCAGCTCCTCTTCCACAAAGAAGTTAACTAATGTCCAGCATGCTTTTATGGTAAGTGTTTGGATTTTTTTAGACAGAGAGACATTGGATAAAATTTAGCTCAGCATCTGAACTTATAGCTGCTTTAGTTGAATATAGCTTAAGACTTTTTGAAAATTGCATGCTAGTTCACAAATACTTCTGTCTGAAGTCCCAGGTGTCAGATTCCTACCCATACTCTTATCTTTATAAACTAGAACTGTTTGTGCACAGAGTCCATGGGCACTAGATGTCTATAATCATATAACTACACTGAGATACAATGGATGTACATGCTTCAAGTTAAATACATTGATATTGAGGACTAGTAAAAGAACAGAAATTTTCCTTCAAATCGAATCTCCATGTATAGGCCTGTTTAGTATTCTAAAAGCTCTTTTGAAGAAATTTAAAAATTTCTCCTTGAGTAGATTTTTAAATTAGCTTTTCTTTTATAGGCTGCAGATGCATAAATAAAAGGATGTGCTGGGTGCAGAGGCAAAGCACTGCTGGCATTTTAGGACTGTTATCAATTTGAGAACCACCATTAATTCTGCCCTCTCTTCTTAAGTTATTCAGTGCATGTGTTATACAGAGCTTTCTATGTTTTCATCCATTTATCTCTGTCTCTGGACATAACAGTTACTTAAATGCTGGAATTTTAATTAATTGTGGGAAAAGGAAAAAAAAAGTTTGTGTATCAGTTACCTCCAATTTCAGCAGTGCAATCTTATTGAGATGCATAATTTGCATCAGTGTCATCTGTGTCAGAATTCAGAAAGGATGGTAATATAGCATAATGTTATACATAAAGAAATAGGTTAAGGAGGAAAGGGCACTATTCATGTGTATAGAGACGTTAATAAAATCAGATAATCACTTCTCTGTGAAGCAATTTTTGAATGAAAAATATGTCCCTCTGCTCTTGCTTCTATTACCCTGAAAGTTAGGAAGTGATTTAACTTGCCTTTGGAGCCCTTTGTATGTGATGCTAGCTCATCTCTTAGCATTAGTATCCAGCTGTTTCTTGGGAAAATGGGTGACCTAAGCAGCAACTAGACTGGAACCCTCTGGCAGCAGTTCAGATAGTCTACCACCTGAGCCACGAGACCTGGGATCAGTATTAGACATAAAGGGAGAAATTATTCTGTGCTCAAAGCATAAGTCTCAGTATACAGGTTTGTACACTGTGTAAAATATTGTATTTTAAAATGCAAAGATAAACTTTGGATTGAGATGAATTCTTTAAAATCATATATTTAAGATGGAGGCTGGGAGGACATGACTGAATGGGCATAAATAGAAGTAAGAGCAGCTCTGACTGCTTATAAGGTCCATTACAAGGAAAGCTAAGCATTGGAGCAGCTTGCCCACAGCAGTGATGTTGTCTCCATCATGGATGTTTCTCAAGGCCTGACTGGATAAAGCCCTGAACAAGCTGGTCTCATCTTACAGCTGAGTCTGCTGTGAGCTGGAGGCTGGGCTATGAGACCTCCCGAGGTCCTTTCTGCGCCAAGTTATTCTGTAATTCTGTCAGAGTGCCCCAAAGTGCACATAGCCTGACTCAGTGTGTCAGCATGCGGTTCTTCTCTTTGAAATTCTGCATTGTTTTTGACATGTGTCTAATTGTACTTGGGAGATATTCTTATCTTTAATACTTCATTGCTGTTACTATATGTGGATACATTTAAAGGAAATCAAGCCAATATCTGGGGAATATAGAGGGTTCCAATTTGAGTGTGTACATTTTAAATGGGTGATAATTGAGTCTTTCTGGACCTTCAGCCTGGCTATGTATTTCACACTGAAGGCTGCAAAAACACTGGAACAGACTTTGTAGGTTTCTCAGTCCACACCCATTCATTTGACAAAACCTGTAAACTGGTATAGTAAATGTAAATTGCTGGAAGTCCTTAAGTGCTTGTTAGCCTCCAGGAGGTATTCTGCCAGAGAACGCTTTCCCATAAAAGGCTTGCTTGGTTGATCTTCCAACCTATGATCTTAGTTTTGAATTTAAACCATTGGAGACTGTAAAATTGCATTGTCTTTTTTTTTTATTTTTTTTTGGTCTGTGTCTTTTTCCATGTCAGTAAGGCTTTTCACTTTTGAGAAGTTCCTCAGCCTTTTGCAGGTGGTATGTGCTTATCTCTGATTATTTTACAATTTCCCTCTTCAACGGTATGACTTTTACTTGGTTGGTATTATTTTATCAATACTAAGTGTCTGTACCAGTGTATTTCAGATAAACATATTACAGCCCATAATCATGCTTCAAAGAATTTACAAAGTATGTCAAGGATAGATAGGAGCAAGCTTTCAAATACCACATTCACTTAGAGCTTGATCTTTCAAAGTACTCCTGAGCATATTTGTATTTCTGCATGCAGGCATACTTGGAACAAGGAGGCATGAAAATGCAATTAAAAAACAGTATGAATTACAAGATTAAGTAAAAATACTTAACAGGTGGTAATTTAAGATTATCCCGAGTGATAGATCTAGAGAGCTAAAACTTCTCAGAAATATGGAAACACAGCTTCCATTTCTGTACTCCCAATCCTTCCCAAAACAGTCCAGTTCAAGAACATCATGCAAAGAAAGTGCTTCTGCATTAGAAATTAGTATCAAAGTTACCATGTATAGAGGAACTTTATAAGGGACCTTATGATATGTTAGATATCTTTCTGAGCCATTACAAGCAGCTATATAATTTGATCACTTTCATGTGTGTTTTTGAAGGTGCTGCATATAAAGTCAGTGTGTCTTCCTGGAAAAACGGTTTGGGAAATCATCTTTTTGCTTGATTTTTTATTATTTTTTAACAGTACGCTTTTTCATCTCCTTTCATATAAGAAAGATCTTAGTACTATCACACACTTAAAAACTACTACTGGTGCAGTTAACTCCCTGCCTCTGTTTAGTACCTGTAGGTAACAGAATTATTTTGTTTGCCTTTATTAATCTGGAAACCTCTAATGTGCCCAGCTGTAACTCTTGAAACAATTCTGATTGGGTCATAAACTTGTGTGTCAGAGGAAGTTACTGAAACTGGTAGGCTCTGTGCTGTTCTTTTGGAGAAAAAAAATAATACTGAAAGATAAAAGCAATGGAAAAGTCAGACAACGGATTCATTTGAAAGTTTCACAAATCTTCATTTTTGTCAGTTTTCACCTCAGTTTTTTTTTTAAGTGAAATTCTGGCTTCCTAGGAAAATAAATTCAAAAGTTTAGTGGGCCATCAGTACACCCCAAATCTGGTACCAGTCCTTCCTCTGACTCCACAATGATTCTGAAAATTTACAGTTATTCCTTTTGAGCTTATTCTGATCTCAGTGGTGGTGCAGACAAAATTTACAAGGCCATACTTGAGACAGAGAAAACCTTTCTATAGATCTCATCATGTAAGTTCCATTGTGGTAGAGAGATATTAATTGGAAATAAATTCCATGAGGCAAAGTGAGATCAAACTATACACCCTTTTATGCAAGTTCTGTCTGTTACTCTTCTGCCCAATGCAAAGGGTCCTTAGTGTGCTGCTTTGTTATTTTTCTCTTTATTCACTTATTTTATGGAGTTTCTAGTCTGTCTCAGGAAAATGTCGTTGTGTCAGCTACTAGCTGCTGCATTTTTGCTTGCATATGTACCCTTGGGACCTTTATGTATTTATAGCTGAAAGCTAGGTTGCCTTTGCTTCCATTTTTACGTGACAGATTTCCATTCATTTATTTTTCGGTTGTAGCATATTATATTTTCACTTCAGCATGCAGTGTGGTAAAACCAAACAGGAAAGGCGACCAAAACCAAGTAGTTACACTCTGTTGCTGTAGGCATGTCTTACAGTTTCCAAGAAAACTTAAATGCTAGGTAATAAGAGAACTCTACTTAAAGGTTACATATCTTGTTTTCAAGACTCAGAGGGCATCAATATTTTCAGTTTATGGGTATTCAAAAGACTATGTATATGACACCTCTTATTTATTTGCCTGGCCATAGAAGTTATATAAGGGTCATAACAGAAAAGTGTCCTTTGCACATAATTGACCATCTAGGTCCATACTTGAGATCTGTAAAATTAAGAAATTCACTTCGTCATATTCCTGCTAATTTTTGGTGGAGTTTATGTTCAGATTCAATTTGTTTGTGTAACGGTCCTATTCTTTGAACTCAGCTGGGTTGTAACTTCAGCTAGGTCAAATAAGGACACTGATTTTTCTAAAGTTACAGGATGATATGGTAGAAGAATCGCTCGAGTTGCCTATTTTGTTGGTTAATTTTCCTATGATTTAATTTAATTAAATTTAATCTCTTTGTAGTCTTTTTTCTGTGTGCCTGCGGGGTCAGCAACTTAAGCAACTTCAAAATATCTAGATTTTTTCTTTATAAAATAATAAAAAATATTGTTTTATTTGGAATTTATATATCTAATGTGATGTTATTAAAAATTTTGAAATTCAGATATGTGAAGATCTGGAACACTGCTATAAGAAGATCAATAGTGCCAAGAAACCCTGACTACTTTTAGGATGGAGCTTGATCTGTTTTAGAAGGAAGTATTAGATTATGGCTCCTTGGATATGATAGCCAGAGATCTTTCAATTCCGTATTCCTGTCTTTGGTGTTGATCTGGAAGTAGTCAGCATCAGAGATTTGTAGCAGTGGAGATGGGTAGCAGTGTTAAATTGGATGGCTTGTAGCTCATCTGGTGTGGTATTCACTCTTCAGTGGAGAGGGTAGAAGCAGAAACCGGAACAGTTGTATATATACGGTACTAATTGCCCAAAGAAATAATGAAAAAGTAAGAAAGCACTGGAGGAAACTAGAAAAGCAGAGTCCCAAAGTCCAAGGAGTAGGTAGAGAAAAAGCATGTCTGACTGACAGAACTAGACATTAAGCAGAGCATGGAGTTGCAGAAGACAGTATTTAGACTTGGCCAAATAGAAATCATTGGGTAAAGTGGATATTTGGAGCTCAGACTGCAGGGAATAAAAGAAAAAGCCCCAACTTGTCATGCAGTGAGAGCAGTCATCAAGAGTC